ATCCCCAAGTTAATATGTTTTTTTAAGGAGAACACCTTCGAAGAACAATTTTTAACTTAAGGTATTAAAACTGATAAAATTAAAGTTCATAACATTCCGTTTTAAATTAATTTTAACAATGAATTTTAGATATTAGAGAAAATAGTCGAATCATTTTAAAATTCCAAGTTAAGCGAATGGATTTTGAACTGTAACGGTTCAAAACAATATTAAAGAATAAATTATTACATCTAATGATCTAAGAATATACTTAATATCAAAAAAAGCGTGCCACTCTAGCATGTGACTCGCCACGGATGAGGATGATAAATGCTGGCCAATGATAAATATGCGCATTCGGAGAGCGCATTTCTGGTAAATGACGCATCCACAAATAACTAATCAATGCTTTCGTAAAACACTCACTTATGTTTTACATAGTTTGTAAGAAAAAAATTGATGGATTTTTATTTCCTAAATATAATTTTTGAATCTATGACACTATAAAATAAATAAAATCATTGTTATAGAACAAAATATTTTTCTCCACAATTTAAGATAGGTACTTGGTCTTCAATTCGAAAACCGAAATAATACTATACTAATACAAACGGGTAAGCTGAAGGGAAAATGGGCCAGCCATTCGAAGAACCGACAACCGTTGGGGAAAAAAGGTTCCCGAGTGGCAGCCTCGTACCGGTAAGCGTATCGAAGGGTGGCCCCCCACTAGATGGAGTGACAACCTGGTAAGACATGCAGGAAGTCGATGGATGCAGGTGGCTCAGGACCGTGCTTTGTGACATTCCTTGGGGGTGGCCTATGTTCAGCAGTGGCCCTGTGAAGGGCTGTAAGATGATGATAATTGTTGCAGTACTGTAGTTATCAAATTATCAAAATATTCACTTTGTGTTTACCTACTTATTAATATCAGCTGACCCTACTTAAATATTTTGTAGTATTACGCACTATTCAGTATCTCACAAGTATGAGCCATTTTACATTAAGAGTTGAGGGCAGATTTGTTTTTTATAGGATAATGATAAGGACAAACAAGCACATAGTCTATATGATGGTAAGTGGTTGCTGTGGCTCATAGACATCTACATCTATCCTCGATTACGATCAAAATGCAGATGCATTGTCACCAGTGAGGACTAAGATGGAATGCCTCGTTTCCAGTAAAACTATTATTAAGCTATTGTGATTTATATCACGAATAGCAATCCAACTGATTTACTGGACTATGTACAATAAGACTCTCACTTTGTACAAAAACAACACCCTGCTTTAAAATTTATAAAGAGGGGCAGATTTTTTACGGTTCTTATATATGTACTATCTATAATATTATTATCTTTTAAGTCCTAAAGTTGTACCTACCAAGTTATAAAACTAATTTTTCCATGAAAATTTTGTAACCATATGTAATGGTTAAGATATTTGAAGATTATATATTTCATTATTTTAACACAAAAGTAGTTTCACCAATTTTCAAGTTAAATTTAAACTTTAATAATAATTTTGCACCATGCAAATATGAAATTACCATGTGAAGTGAAAAGAGTTGTACAAACCATAACTCCCTATTTCATCTTTAAAGGGTTTGAATTCTCCAAAATCATTATTTGTGGATGATAAAAAAAACTACTGAATTCCAATCTCAGATTTCTGCATCCTGTGATGCTGAGCTTCTAAATACAATATTTTTCATATAAATTTACCAAACTCTTGAAAAAATAATATATATATATATATATATATATATTTTTAATTTATGAGTACTTGCGCCATTTATTAGATTAAAAAATGGTTATTTTTTCTCAATACATATTCAAACACCTTTCCCATCACTGTAAAAGAAGCGTGACAAACAAGCACACAGTCCACTTGTTGGTAACAGGATGCTGTGGCTCATAGACACCTACATATATTCTCAATGAGCATTCAAATGAGAATCAAATGCAGATGCATTGTCACCCCCGAGGAATGAGATGGAATGCCTCATTTTCAGTAAAAAGGATCTCCAGTTCTCTTCACTCACCATACAGAACACAGCACTATGAAGCTGCTGTATTATGCTGGTACTCTGTGAGAGCATGGTCCTGCCCCGATTGAGCCAACCCATTCATGCTACAACTATAATATAGATGTAGCATGACTCTACCACATATAAAAATCGCAAAATTTGTATTCATATGCTTTTATTTACAGAGTATTTTCAGGAAGTTATGAGTCAATTGCTCTGCATAATAAAAACAATCATAAAAACAGCAACACCCGAAGTCACTCGCTTAGGAGCTGAATTTTCCAAAATCCTTTCTTAGTGGATGCCTATGTAATATAACCTATTACGACAATACACATATACACATTTCTATGTCCAGCAGTTCGGAATGTGCATCTTAACACATATTTTTCATACAAACTATTTAACCTTATTTTGAAACCTTACAGGTATTTTTTTTAAATAAAAATAGATTTACTATTTTAATTCTGGGATATTTCTACCAGTTTTTAAATTAAAAGAAACTTTAATATTTCTTTCTGCATACTAATTTGATCACCCTCTGCCCACTGTTAAGGATTGTTATGAAAAATCGCAAATATATTTTCATTATTTTTATTTACAGTACTTTCAGTAAATTTCAAATCAAATATCTGTAAAATAAAACTTTTGTAAAATATAAAATACCCTATTTCACTCACTTAGCTATAGAACTTTCTAAAATCCTTTCTTAGCGAATATCTATATCATAAAATGCTACTGCCCAAATTTCAGATTTCTATGTGTAGTGGTTTGGGCTGTGCATTGATAGATAAGTCACAACAGTTATATAAATATATATATATATATATATATATATATATATATATATATATATATATATATATATATTGATAACTTATTTTGCTCTATCACTTCACTCACTTCATAACTTACAAACACAGACAATAAGAAATTAATAGAAATAAATCAGTAAAATCCTCTATAGCATTCATCACTGATCACCACATCAACACAAATCCTCTATATCATTGTCATGAACATCCACATGACTAGGAAATCTGCACTCTAACCTGTGTTTAGTACTATAAGGCAGTGGTGCTGCTTTTGTATAGTATTGTCATGAACATCCACATGACTAGGAAATCTGCACTCTAACCTGTGTTTAGTACTATAAGGCAGTGGTGCTGCTTTTGTATAATATTGTCATGAACATCCACATGACTAGGAAATCTGCACTCTAACCTGTGTTTAGTACTTACTATAAGGCAGTGTGTATTTATTTGTATGTATCTATTAAAAACATAGTTGGAGGCCTTGCATAATAAAGGTGGCACAATCTATGATTCATTGTATTTCATACTTGGGATGTTGAAACATTAGCTGTTGCTGTAAGCCGAAACTTGGGGCTCAGAAAAAAACTTACTCAAATTAACAATTAAAATTAATACCTTAATTATTGTTATTTAGGATTGACTATGTTTTTCAATTTAATAATTTTTTGCAAAATCTTTCATCAATTAGACTAAACTATCAAATTGTTGTTAGCACAAGTGGTATAATTAAAAAGTTTGTGTAAATTCAATATAATGAGAACATTTATATGGGACCACATCAGAATAATCAGCTTTCAAATAAAAGAAAAGAATCATCAAAATTGGTTCACCTAGAAAAAAGTTCTACGGTAACATGCATTCCAAAAAAAGTACAGTCAAATTGAGTACTTCCTCCTTTTTCTGAAGTTGGTTAAAAATTGAATGATTGCGCAACCTTTTTGTTCATATTAAAACCACTAAACCATGTGCTCAGTATGCAAAAAAGTTAAGGGTTCTGGATATTAATCCTAGCTGGAGTCAAAATTAGTACTATAAGGCAGTGGTGTTGCTTTTGTATAATATTGTCATGAACATCCACATGACTAGGAAATCTGCATTCTAACCTGTGTTTAGTACTATAAGGCAGTGGTGCTGCTTTTGTATAATATTGTCATGAACATCCACATGACTAGGAAATCTGCATTCTAACCTGTGTTTAGTACTATAAGGCAGTGGTGCTGCTTTTGTCTAATATTGTCATGAACATCCACATGACTAGGAAATCTGCATTCTAACCTGTGTTTCGCCTTATTGAATTAAACTTACATCAGGCACAGGTATATGTCATGTTTTGGTATGCTACATAGAAAATATGCCAGAGATGTAAGCTTACACTATGTCTTCTATAGACCGTCATACATCTTTATCTTCACACATGTTACACAAAAAGGTTTTTAAATAAAAGTAAATTGGAATTGTGACAAAATGAGTTTAAAAACAGGTATTAGTTTTAGTGCTATCATATTCTAATTACCATTTTCAAATAGTATACAAATATTTTTATGAAATACTTAATGAATTATGTTTAAACAATATTTAAAAAACAATAATAAAGTAAAACTAAAAATTTAAATTATCATACAGTCCCTGTGGTATCATGCCAAGAATGCTGGCTGCGTTTCCTCCCTAAATTGTTATACTTATTTGCTTTTGAGCAAGAAAATACTATGATATCACTTCACCAGCAGCAACAACCAGTCGAAAAAAAGTTCCTTCAGGAACTTCACCACACATGGACTATTATATTTTTCAATAATATTTTATCAGTTTTCAGTAACTAAAATACGAACATTTAATTTATCAGCTCATGAAAATGACCATTGTTAGTGAATGTTTCCATTTTAATAGTAAAATGGATCTTTGTTAATGCAATTGTTTGCTTTTGTAATATTTATACATTCCTATTATACACATTGAACTATGTAAGAATCTTAAGGTGTAAATGGAACCAAAGGTAATGGTTAAAAAAAATTTGGATCGTATTTTATTTTTTTATCAGTTAATTGTGATAAACGTCAAAGAGAAAGTCGGTATATAAAGTGGGGATTTTGATACCTAACGAGCACAAGGAAAATAATCTAAGGTTAGTCTACAAATAAAAGATTTTGAAAAAAAAAATTAGTATATCAGTGTCTTCTTACCTCCTTTTCTGGTTAGCTGGTTTAGGAGACATCTCAGATTTTATCATAGTGTCACTACTAAGAACTTGGCGATATGAGTACAATCTTAGAACACTGCAAAGGAGAGTATCATATCGCTTTTTACTTTATTTATATTTTAATTTGTTGAACTGTTCACAACTTAGTTTCACTGATCACAATCTAGGTCATTTTATAATGCACTACACAAACAAAACGCACTTTGTTGTCATGAACTTGCACAGTAGTATCCAGTAAAACGTAGAACTAGATAGATCATAGATAATACCTGTATACCAGAGAAGATAGATGTAGATTGTAGAACTCAGGCTCACGGATGTACTTCGGATTATTCTTAGTACCTACTCTGTAGGCATGTCAATCTGAGAGCGATTACTCGAAGAATCGATTTATTGTGCCAAAAAGATCAATTTTTAAATCGATACACAGTACTGAATCGATCCAGTAAATCGATATTTCCACCTAGAAAATGGAGATCGATTTTTTTCTGTTTTAAGACCTATGAAATTATTTACAATTAGTTGAATGTACCCAAACTCATAAAAAATGACAGTTTTTTTATTCAAAAACTCACCAAACTGCTGTGTGCTCAGTTTCTTTCGTCTCTTTTCCTTATGGATTAAAGTAATAAAAAATAAGTTACATTTATAATCTGCACTTTGTTGTATCTTTTGACATTGTACATAAAAACTCTTAAAGTAAATCGAAAAAGATCGATTTTTGAGAAATCGATCTTTTAGACTTCGAGTTTTTTGTGAATCGATTTATAAGATTTCTTTTGGAATCGATTTAAAAATCGAACTTTTTTGGAAAGAATATGCGCTGTGGACGTATCTGGTTCCTGGTGTTACCAAGTTTTGTTTTGCTTTTGGTGCTTTTTGCATGACGGAAATAGACGAGAAAAACCAACATATTTTTTCAACATTAGGAGCAGTCCAACTTGAGATGGTTTGTTGGTTAACAGCAATCTACCTCAAGTTCTTAGTCTCAAAAATTTATAAACTTCAAAGGCCCTTTGAATCATATTTTTGCGTAGACGGAGAATGCTATAGTCAAATTGATATCTTTTGTCGCAGTCACACAAGAGTAAGAGCAACGTACGCCGATGACGTGTTAAGAAATGAAATAGAACGATGAGATATTTAGTTTCGCTGAGCATGTCACGTTTTTCAAGATTAGCACACTACTTTGCTAAACAAAGTTTGACAGCTAACGTGTAGCGAGATATTGCCTTTTTTAACAAAATACAGTTTTACGTGCTTTATATTTTTTCTCTCTTTTTCTCTTTATTTGGATCACCAACAGATGATACACAACACTAACAAAAATATAACTCAACACTGCGACTATATGCTACGTGTTCGTCTTCTTACAGGTAACAGCAACTTACGTAAAAAGCGAAGTGATTTTTTTTTAAAAGAAAAGGAAACGGATAATAATATCCTAATAAGAATACATGGAAAAACAGATTTGATATAGTTACATTTTGTGAATTTAATGATTATTGTCTATTATATAGACTCTAATCATTAAATAAATAAATAATAAACTAATAATAAATCTACTAATTTTATTACATATTTTCAAATTTTTTATGGATTAAATACTTAAATCCAGACAACGGTATATACATTATATCTATTTCTATGGAATTTGGTATATGGATGTATAATGACATCATTCTGTTAAGTGAGGAGTTGCGACTTAAATTACTTTTACAGAGACTTTCTTTGAACAGCTAGTAAACCTTAAAGCGAAAACTTATGGAAATTAAAAATAATTTAAGCATTCATACAAGTAAACAGTATTAAACGAAAATAATAATAATTTCCCTCAACCTACAGTATTAAAATAAATTACATTCGTTATAATCTTGGTACATTAATTCATTATCAAGCCGTTCGATTAATGGATCTTATGAAACATAAAGTGCGGCAGATTTAACATACAAATCGCTTTATTTCAGATTGATCCTGCTATTGACCTACTGCCGTCGACTAGTGATCAAAAGCCAGTTGAAATAGTAAACCTTCTATTGCATTTGAACCCAATCAAAAAAGAAATAGAAACCTTTACACGAAGCTTGTTTTGTTTGAAGGACAATAATCAATAAAAGCTTATTATTAATAAACATGTTGCATTATTTACTCACGAAGTCAGAATCGTAGTCTCCCTTTTCAGACCTTCTTTATATACTCATTTCTTATATTATAACTAGTTGTGGGGTTAATTTTTCCTCACACTTGTAACCCTAAATATAGTGACATATTTTTTTGTCTCTTTTTGCGACACTTTGCCGGTGTCTATAGCATTCTCTGTCTACGTATTATGGAGCTAAGAAAGAAGTAAAACGATCGCTACGTGCTAAAGCATAGCCCGCCTGTCCCTGAACTGCCGTCGGTAAGTAGTATATGCGAAGTTAGCTGTTTATGAGTACAAGTAGATGAAGTTAGTTGAATAATGTACAAATTTTCTTTGCGGCATTGGTGAGAATATAATCGTGCTCCATATTTTTTTTTAATTTTTGATATAAAGAAACATTAAAAATGGTAAAATATAGTATTGTGTGTGGATGTACAAGTGGTTTAGCATCTGATCGGAAAAAATAGACTGAAAATGACTTTTATTGAGACAACTTAGCGGTCGCAGCGCCTCGCTTATTTTGTCCATATTTCAGGAACACTATTTTCTACAGTGATCGTCCTATTTCTCTCTTGGAGGTTCCATGCTACGTATTTTGTCTTGTTTTTCGACACACTTTGCCGGTGTCTATTAGTATTCTCTGTCTACGAATTTTTGATTAAAAAAATCCATTAAATACACACTTGATTCATTTTTACAACCAGCAACGTTGTAATATTATGCTATGATATTGTTCCCAAAGTTATGTGTAATCTAATCAATAAAAATGCATATTCTCTAAAATATTATGACATCAACATTATATAATTAAAAAAAACAGTGACATCCTCGCATCAACGAAAAAGCTTTTAAGGTTTTGTCGATTTGTATGAACTCTAAATTGTAATTTTTTTATATTTTGTTATTTTAAAATTACTATTATATGATAAAACGTGATAAATGGCATAGTGTATATTTTCATTTAAAAATCGACAAATTTTGCATTTGTAACTTTCGGTAGTAAATCCAAAGAGAAACGTGTAAACGCTCAATAAAAGGTTTTATGAAATATGTTATTTTTTGGTGTTGTACCACTAGCCTCTAATATATAGAGGTCAGTGTGTTGTACTGATTAATAGAATAGAGATGCAACGATTTATCGATGACAATAATTATTTTAATATATATAAATATTATAAAATTTGTGAAATGATACCATTTAGTACGTTAATGATACCATTATGAAATAATTACGTGCTCATTTTATAAGTACTTCAATGAAAGTTACTCCGTGGTTAAAATTAAATATTTATATACCGATTTCTGATTTGTTTGATAGTTAATCAAGCAAATCAGAAATCAGTGGCTACACTAACCACAGAAATATTTATTACAGTAGAATGACTACAATACAAACATTTAGAAGTTTTTTAGAGAATTAGAATAGAATATGTCAAGGTTTAGTTTTTTGTTATTAAAATAATTATTCATTCGATAATTAAGATTTATTTATTCTTTTTTTAACGATGACATTCAAATTTATTCTGCCATCAGTGAATGAGGTGTAATATTTGACACATCTAGAGTGCGAAATTAATGTTTGTTTCTGAAATATTAATTATATTTTGTATTTATTAGATTACAAATGGATAAGCCAAACTACGGATAATCCTAAAACAAGAAGAATTAATATAAATTTAAAATGAGTTAAAATTAGTGTGTACAACGATGGCGTTGTTTCGGATATAAGTATACTCTATACTTTAGAAATTGAAAAGCTATTTTTTAAAGACGAAATTTTTCAATGGTGGCGATACTGTGTGACTGATGACAAATGATAACCTCAGTTCCAACTCTTCACATCTGAGAGCGTAACATTATTAGTTCTATTCTGCGTTTAATAGTTGAAATAAGATTAATATATATTTTTTACAAGTAAGTATTAATAAGAACCATCAAGGGAGAATGTTATGTTATGTATAAGATTGAAGAGTTTTTCACAAAGGGCTGATTTTCAATCATCAAATAAATTATAACCTGATTGAATATAAAAATGAAACATTTAAACTATTTTATTTATAAAACTGTAATTCGTATAGCTCTATTTTAACCAAGTATTTAAACATTGGGACTTATTTCGGGCTAATAAAATAACAATAGTATATTTATTGACACAAGTCACAATCATCATCATTAGAGTCAGAGTCGCTGGAACAATCTTCGAGATTAATTATTAATTCATGATCACACAAATAATCAAAGCGGACATCACGTTGCCAATGTTATGTGCTAACTGATATTTTTTCGCGTTTTATCGACCACCTTCTTCCAATTATTTGGTGTTACATGTTCATATGCATGTCCAGTAAATTTAACATTTTATTTGCTGTGTCCGGTGGGATGGTGTTGTGTCTTGCTGCATGACCTAAAACGAAAACAATGAGTTAATTTTTTTTAAATAAGTGATGCAATAATTAATCATCTTCATTTAAATATTAGTGTCGGATAAGACTCTAATATCCGACACTAATATTTACACTCTTATCCGACACTATTCCAATGATATCCCGGACGTCAGTCTGACCGAGATTAGAATGGCTCTCCAGCACCTTAAAAACGGCAAGTCCCCGGGCGAGGATGGAATTACAGCGGAGCTTCAGAAAGCGGGTGGAAAAACGGTACTTGAAGTCCTTCAGAAGCTCTTCAATTCCGTCCTCCATGGTTGCACTACTCCAGAGGCTTGGAGCAGAAGTGCGGTGGTCTTGTTCTTTAAGAAAGGTGACAACGCTCTCTTGAAGAACTACAGACCGATTTCCCTTCTGAGCCGCGTCTACGTGCTGTTTTCGAGAGTCATTACGAATCGTCTCGCACGCAGACTTGACGACTACCAGCCTCCCGAACAAGCCGGTTTCCGAAAAGGCTGCAGTACCATAGACCACATACATACCCTGCGGCAGATTGTACAGAAGACCGAAGAGTACAATCTGCCACTTTGCCTGGCGTATGTGGACTATGAGAAAGCCTTTGATTCCGTCGAAATTTGGGCGGTGCTACAGTCCCGTAGGGACAGTTAGGGACCGTAGGCCAACAATCACCTTCCTGCAAGATGAAGAAGGCACAAGACCAGACAGAGAGGAGCGAAGGGAGCAGGACAAGAACAGGGCTCTCAAGAAAAGCTAAAGAGGCGGAATCATCTGGAGCGACCACAGCCACTGCTTCGAGTGGAACAACTCCTTCAAATGGAGCCACCACCGACACGTCCACATGCACGTGGGACTCAGGGACGTCCACGGCAACGACAAGCAACAGGACAGACACCAGTGGTACGCAGGCCAGCACCGCACAACAATCCGTTATATCCAGAAGTGAAACGCTGGTCGAAAAAGTAGGTCAAAGGATCGAAGAAGCGGCATCGTCAAGGACAGTAATCGGGCACACTAGTGACAAAGGGTCACAGAGAGGTAGTAGGTCATCGCGATCGGCGAGGCTGAAAGCCGAATTAGAGGCGCGGATTCAATTCGAACGCTCAGAGCTCGAACGAGCACAGGCAGCTGCTGCCTTAGCCAAGTCTCAATTGGAGTTGGCACGACTCAACCGAGAAGAGTAGATCGACTCGAGTGAGGATGATGAAGAGCGGAATACTCAGGTGGAACCTTTCGTAAGGAGTTGGGTTCAACAGACCATAATGAGCGCGCCGGTTAGTGTAACGCAACCCGATATTACTGATAAGAAAGCGTGTAAAGGATCACGCCGCAAAGGGGCGGAGATCGAGCGCAACCAAGGAAATGCACAGAAAATACACGCGAGTGATGTGTCAGAATTGACCGAAGCGATTGCGAGTGCAATAAAGATAGCGGGTAAAGATAAGTCTTCCCAGCTTCATTTCCTCCAGGAATTACCGGTGTTCGATGGAGACCCGGGTGAATGGATAGTTTTCAAAACGGTGTTTGAAGACACGAGAAGCCAATTTTCAGGGGTGCAGAATGTCGCACGCCTTAGGAGGGCATTAAAGGGCACCGCTAAGGAAGCGGTTAAGTCGTTGTTGTTTACTTTGTGTGAACCTGAAGAAATAATGAACGCTCTCGAAAGAAGATTCGGTAGGGTTGAGATGCTCATTCTAGCCGAAATCGAGAATGTAAAACGTATGCCAAGATTGGCAGAAGATTGCCGGAATATAGGATCTTTTGCAAGTCGTATTACGAACGTGGTTGCCACAATACAAGCGTTGAATCAACCACAGTATTTATACTCACCGGAGTTAGTGAGCCGCATAGTAGAGAAACTCAGAACTATGATTAAATTTAAATGGTTTGAATATCGAGCTCATTATCCTTTGGAGCCAGAGTTACAGAAGATGGCCAAGCTTTTAAATTTATTGAGTGAACAATTTGGAACGTCCTTAAGCAATGAAAATGCGCCTGAAAAACGGAAGCGTCCTGAATTCAGGAAGCAAACTGTACACACTGCAAAGGGATGTGTACGCAGTCGTGCCAAGAGGGAGCGCTATGTGCGCCGAAGTAATAGGAGCGAGCGTCTAGAACGCCGAAATAATAAAGGGCACAACCGACAAGTGGTTATGACAACCCAGGACAAGCCTGTAAGTCGGGTAACACATAAGTGTGTTATATGCAACAAGGAGCACTCTATAGTGAGTTGTTACAAGTTTAAGGACATGAATATTCGCGAGAAATGGGACGTAGTCAAAAAGGCGAAAGTATGTTTCCAATGTTTGTCACCTAACCATAGGAGGTTAGAGTGCAAAGCGAAAAAATGTGGTGTAGAGGGATGTAGAATGTCACATCATCAAATGCTACACCGATACTCCAATGAAAATACCTCGCCGCAAGGGGACGAGGGGGGTAAAGAGGCTCAAACTACTACAACTGTTAGTACAGTGAATGCACTGGCATGTGCATACTTAAGAGCGCATATTCAAATATGTCCAAGTCGAAATCTACGCGATCGCTTTGGAACGGCGTAATATTGACGCACACTACAATGTTATCTCTGTGTGCGTGTCAGTGCGAGCGTGAGGCTATAATAGTTGCCTAACGACGACTACGAATCACTTTGATCTTTGATTATATACCTGTCTTTGATACTATTGGAACTAAAATAATAAAAAAATAATTTCCATATAATGGCTTACTTATATAGTGTATAGAAATCGAAAGCTAATGTGTGGAAATTGTTTTATTCTTTTAGTAAATTGAAGTCGGCTTTACATTTTCATCCTATTGAGTATATTATAATATATATTATATGTTCTAATTGAAAATTATGTATTGTATAAAATATATATCATTTGATAAACTTTTATTCTGTTTCATAATGTAAACATCATTCATCAAAGTAACAATTTCATTAGTGTCGGCGATATTAGTGTTGCCAGGTCTAGCAAGTAAAATTTCGGGACGGAAGGTAAAAATAATCGAGGATTTGGTTTTCATATCCGGACAACTAGAATGACTACAAAATATAGGCTTTGCAGCCTTTTTGTGCTTTATTGAGAGCCGTGGTAGCTCAGACGGTCAACGCTAACTGTAAATATCACAGTATGCGAGTAATGCGAGAAATTGTGACTGTAACTTTACTTTATTTTTGTGCTTTATAATTATTATCCGGGTCTGATCTAATAAACGAATAACTTTTCATCCAAACATCGTAAAAACTGAATTTTTTTTCATTTTAGGCAAATTAAAACATTTTTGTGAACTATTTGTTATTTTTCTGCAGTCCCTGAATTTTTCAAATCACTCATTTTAATATAATTCTGTTTAAAACTTTTGCCTGGTGCAAGGAAAAATTTTGTAGCTAACAGATATAATCATTTTTGCTGTCAAAATTATGGATTATTTAAGTAAGATTTATAGTTAGTTAAGTATAGAATAACAAGGTTAGTGAAAATCGGGACATTTGGCGTCCCGATCAAGGGTGAATCGGGACGTGTCACTAGACCCTTGAAAATCGGGACGTCCCGCGCAAATCGGGACACCTGGCAACACTAGCGGGCATCGAGCCCGGATTGTTCGCGTTTACGGCGAGCACTACGCCCTTGAGCTACTCAACTCAAGCACGGCTCATATTTTTATATCTGGGCGCACGGTACCCGCCATGTCGACCAAAACAGCGGCTCGGCCGTATCATCATTGCGAGACTTGGTTATTTTACAAGTTATGTTTTTGATGGCATGTCTTTGTTTAATCATAACGTTATCTCCACACTAGGAATTTTTCCTAAGTACATCGTTGGGGCAGTTTAAATACATTAATTTCACAAGGACACACATCCAGACCTGGAACAATTATTTGTAGGTAATACAAATTTTTGTTCCATGTGGGATTCGAACCTGCGGCGCTCAGCGCTACAACTCATTACCAAGTCACTCCGCCACGGAGCCAAAGGTGAAAGCCAACGATTTTGTATTTTTACTTGATCCGAATTGCTTACGTTAATTACTTACTCATTTCTAAAAAAATATATATGAAATGAAAATTTGCCACCATTACATCATTTAATATTTAAATATTACAATCATAAACATATTTCAAAATTACTTACTACCAAAAATATCGCTTATAAAAGTCTGAATCGTTTAAAATGCTCGATGGTGCTATAGGTATCTAGTTATAGTATGGTGTAGTATAGCCCTATCGGTGTATCAACGCGATCGCGCGGTGTCGGTGAGAAAAAGTAATACGTCCTGTCGTTGGGATTACCCGGAGCGTACTAAATCGAACGGCGTCCAGTGTTGCCGTTTGGACAATCTAGTTTGTGGCTAAATAGAATAAAAAAGTGGCCAGCTTTTAAAAAAAATCGTAATCTAAAAGTAGCTAGAAGTGGCTAATATCATAATATCCTTTGCCTACTTTAATATTCTATATTGATAATTAAATAATATACAAGGTTAGGGATAAGTGGGTTTAATTAAAACCGGATCTAATATACTTAAGTTAATTAAGTATTTATTAAAACTAACAATAATGTTTGTACGTATCTACAATTAAAATTTAGTAACTAATTAAATTATTTGAAAAAAAAATAAAAATTAATAATCAATTTGTAGGTCTGCAATGTCATCTGGTAATTCTATAACCTCTTCGTCAATGGGTGATGATGATGTAGATGGTGTTACGATTTGTTTTAAAGGTTTGACAGTTTTTTTAATTTTTTTTAAAACCTCAGGCGGTAAAACATAGTTGTGACAATTTTTCTTCTTTATTTTTAATTGATTTCTAATCATTATTATAGAATTGAGTGTCAATGAACACATTCTATTTCTCAATTTATTTTTTACAGTGTTCATCACGCTGAACAGCCTTTCTACTTCCGCATTAGAGTGAGGAAGGGACATTGCAGCAATAGCCAAGTCAGCTAGTTCTCGAAATGTATTAACTCCTGCTGCATTCTTGTATTTTAAGACTTGCGCCCAGAATTTAACACTGTCTCCTGCAGTTTCCCATTCTATGAATTGTATAGTTTTCCATTGTTGAACAATTTTATCTGTCTTTTGGTCATCGAATCCCAATTCTCTTGCTAATCCAACCAGTGCATGAGGATCCTTGATCTGTTTTAATGTGTTCTCTGGACTTAAGAGTGTTACTTTTGCTAGGATCTCGTAATTAGAAGGTATTCTGTTCTGAATTTCTTGTACCAACTTGACACTGAAGTCGATGCATCGTTTTTTGATATTAGAAATTGCTTGCGGAGATAAGTTGCTATTACTGGCATGAGATTCGAAAAGATGTCCCAAATGTGCAACTGGATCTAGATGATCTTCTACTTTGATAGTGAGGAAATCTTTGTCTGTTGTCGCGGCGCCTGGTATTATTATTCTAACGCAGACAGATCGTAACAAGGTCATCAGAGTTTCTAACAGTTTGACAGGATCAATATTTTCACCTTCAAATACCTTAATGCCAATTTGAACGTCGTGAAGAATACTTTTCAAAAAACATAAGTAAAGACGATTACCCTCGTCATTGTACATTTCCCAAAGAAGTCCCGCTGTATAGCACTTCTCTCTGGCCAAAGAAAAATGTAGTTTTAACTCGTTCCATTGTGCCAATATTCTCAACACAGCAGGCTCTATTGATAACCAACGGGTGTCACAAACCTTTAATATTTTTAATGGTTCATCCCCGCAGTTAATTGTTTGAAACAGCGCTTTATATTCGTCTCGGCGTTTTGGAGAAATGGAGAACCAGTTGTACGTCTCTCTTATCAGAAATTCTATGTTACGTGGCAGATTGCTTTCAGACGCATGGCTGACCGCCAATTGCAAAGAGTGGCAGATGCATCTAATGAGGATCAAATTTGGTAAATTATATTCTCTCTTCAAAATTTCAATTACGCTGTTATTTCGGCCCGTCATGACCGAGGCATTGTCGGTGCCGATCCCAATCAAATTTTGTATTGGAAGACTTTGTGACTCCAAACATTTTACTAAAGATGTGACAATACCTCTCGCATCAGCTCTTTCAATAGGCTCCAGAGACAGAAATGATGACACAATATTATTCGTATTCAGGCTAAAATATCGTATTATTATTCCCATGTATTTTGAGACGCTAACATCCGTAGATTCATCTAAAATAATACTATATTTCTGCGTGCCAATATCTTTTAGAAGAGTATCCTTAAAATGCGGCGCCAGCACTTGATTTATAACTTGCGTACATTTAGTTCTATGCATTTTTATATCTTTGGCACACTTTGAATCATGAAAAACTTCTTTACAAAGGTCTGTAAGGTGGTCAGTGTTGGATATGGAAGTATGTTCAGCAATGAACAAGGCAAGCTGGCCTTCAGCTTTTTGACTGTTCTTTGAACCATCATCAGGTGTAGAGGTAAACTGGATCTGTTTATTTTTTGTGATTAATTCACATTTTGCTTTGTGTTTTTTAGATTCTCTGTGCTTACGTAAATCATAAATTTTGGCAGCAATTTCTACATGACAATACTTGCAAAAGGCTTTCGTTGGACTATCCGCTATTGGCTTTATCCACTGTTTAAAGTCTTCGTCATTCTCCCATTCAGTCCTATATTTTTGAATGTAGCTCTTTTTCTTGAGAGGAACATCCATGATATTTCCAATAACTTTCCAAGAACTCAAGACTCTCAATTCACCTTTAAAACTTAACAAAAATGAAAAATGTAAGAACTATCCACGCGTGAGAGGCTACGGCTAAACAAGAACAATGCGATCTATCGTTTCGACTTTCGGTACTATATGAGTGGAGTTGGGGAAACCCCGATCATAGATTACACCTGCGGCGCGGAGAGTGAGCGGACCGCGGTAGTGTTGCCTTCTCAGCAAAAGGCGGTAACCACATGTTTCTTTAAAAGAACTTAGTAGCTAACAAAAATTACCAGAAGTAGTTAGAAGTAGCTAGATTCGTTTTGGTGGCTAAAATTGATTTTTTTTTGGCTAAAACCTTTGAAAATCCGCTAGATCTAGCCACAAAGTGGCTAAAACGGCAACACTGGGCGTCTGCACATGATGTTTTATAGTATTTTTAAAATAATTATATAAAATAATTGACAAAATAAAACGAGCTAAAAATTTTATTGGATATTTAACATTACATGTATTTTGATAAAATAATTAAAATAGATATGTTTATAAGCAAATACATGGAAAAAATTACATTGAAGTAGACAGTTTTGGTGATTTTATAATATTATTTTATAATATTAAATCGAAATATTTTCGTAATTTAGGTTTTGCTATACACTAAAAGACTATATATTCCATTATAATAACGATTAAAATAAAGTATTTTAGCTTATAATAATGGTTGTATTCCACCTGAAAGATAACTCTGATGCATATTTTCGTAAAACACTGTGAAGGGATTGTCTTCGCCCTAAAAAACCGTCATTAAAAACTATGATTTTGCACTGCTATGTACTAAATAAATACTTCATCTTTATAAAGCTCTAATTTTCAGCAAATAATCTCCTCACGTCGTTACGACATCGCCTTTGGAAAAACCATAAAACATGTAGTTTTCGACGCGAAACGCATATGCCCTCTTAAAGATTATACCGGTCGAGTTGTATGGACCTAGAGGAAAGGTCAAGACAACAGCTCTTCTGGATGAGGGATCGACCATGACACTCATAGAGGAGTGGATGGCTCAGAAGTTAGCGCCTCGCGGACGTAAAGAAGAATTACGTATTGAAGCCGTGGGAGGTAAGCGAATTAACGACGACAGTTCGTATCGCTTAAACGTTAAGATAAAAGGCATTTACTCGAACGACTTAGAAGAGATAAGTGTACAAACAATTAAGTCACTTAACCTTTCTCCGCAGTCAGTAAGTCGAGAATTATTGCAACGGTGTTCTCATTTGACACCGATTAAGGACGAGTTAATGTATGAGAGGTCCAGACCTACCATATTAATTGGCCAGGACAATTGGCATCTCATAGTTACTCTTGAATTAATTTCAGGAGGTAAGAACCTACCTGTAGCATCGCACACCAAACTTGGATGGGTTTTACATGGTCACATATCGGGTGGCATTAAACCAATCAAGATTGTTAACCACATTTCCACCAAGAAGGAGGAGGACATGGATAAGTTAATCAAGGATTATTTTAGTTTGGAATCTCTGGGAGTGTCTGCGCGAAAGCCCGCGAACGACCCAGAAGAACGAGCTTTAAATATTTTGAGCAAAACGGTACGTCGTATACCTAATAATAGGTACGAGACTGCTTTGTTATGGCGCACAGACAATGAGTGCATGCCATCGAATAGAGCGCAGGTTGAAAGTCGCCTGTTTCGAAAAGAAGCTCGATAAAAATAGCGAGTTGAAAAAGGAATATGAGAAGCAAATAGAAAATCTCATCGTTAACGGTTACGCAGAGAAAGCGAACCATATTTTTATTTCCCCACGCACGTGGTATCTTCCCCACTTCGCAGTGACTCATCCACAAAAAAAGAAAATAAGAATAGTTTTCGACGCCGCCGCAAGGACGGGCGGACGTTGTCTGAATGATGCATTGTTAACCGGACCGGACTTATTGAAGTCGTTGTTTGGAGTTCTGCTACGATTCAGAGAAGGAAGCGTGGCAGTGATGGCAGACATTAAAGAAATGTTCCTGCAAGTGAAAATGCGGGAAGAAGACAGGGATAGCCTTCGATTCTTATGGCGACACAATCGTGACGCGCCACCGGAAGAGTATACAATGACGTCACTCATATTTGGAGCGGCATCATCACCATGCATCGCTATGTATGTGAAGAATAGAAATGCGCAGGATAACGCACATATCTATCCAGAAGCAGCTTCCGCTACGGAAAGCAACTTTTATATGGATGACTATCTACAGGCATTTCCCGACGTGACGACGGCCGAAAGGATAGTAAACGATATGTATGAATTACATAAACATGCTTCTTTCCAACTGAGGGGATGGGCTAGCAACCGACCCGAAGTTTTAAGTAAAATGGAAAATAAATATAAGAGCGACAGTGCTTCGCTGGGAGATAAAGAGCACACAGAGCGCACTTTAGGTTTGATTTGGAATATCAAACGGGATATAATAAGTTTCTCCATAAGTGCACCGGAAGAGGTGATGGAAGGTTTACGACCGCCTACGAAGAGGGAGATAACTAGCGCTGTGATGTCAGTCTTCGATCCTTTAGGACTCGCATCACCCATAACGATTCAAGGGAAGTCGCTGATCCAGCAAGTATGGAGGACAGGCATCTCTTGGGATGAAGAAGTTTCACACGAACTACACGTGTTATTTTGTAAATGGATATCGGAAGTGAAGAAATTAGGTCATTTAGAAGTACCTAGACCCGTTGCTGAAGGCGTCGGCAAAGGAGAGTTGCACACTTTCACGGATGCTAGTGAAAAAGCATACGCTGCCGCGGTGTATTACGTCACCACGGACGAGCTAGGAGAGAGGCGGATTACGCTGATCGCCGCAAAGGCAAGAGTAGCGCCGCTGAAACCAATTTCGATTCCAAGTCTTGAATTGCAAGCAGCTCTTATGGGCAGCAGACTGGCTGCATCAATTAGTGAAGAGAGCAAGTACGAGATATCCGAGAGAGTATTTTGGACAGACTCACGTACAGTGTTAGCGTGGATTAAGTCAGATCCTCGCGGTTTTAAACCAATCGTTGCTCATCGATTGGCTGAGATTGAAGATCACAGTAAGCCATGTGAATGGCGATGGGTTCCGACGTCACAGAAAGTGGCAGACGACGCCACTAGAAATTTTCCTTCCACCTTCGATGTAAGTCATCGCTGGTTTCAAGGACCTGAATTCCTCAGGAAAAGTCCTGATTTATGGCCCAAACAAGTGGACACCATAAAAAGCTTAGAAACAGGTGAAGAAAAATCGCCAAAAGGCGTAAATGCGCTGAGAAAGCAAGAACCGTTAAGTCTACCCGACTACGGACGATTTAACAGCTTTAAGAAATTCCTTGGGGCAACTACACGCACCTTACAAGCGGTAGAAAAGTTCAAGAGTTTAAGAAAGTCGGTTAAAGGACCCGACAACGCAGCCGAAAAAGTCGGTTATGTGTTCCAACAAAGTTTTAGCAAAGTCGGTTAAAGGACCCGATGGCGCGTTGGACATAGCGCTCTTGAGAAAAGCGGAATTGTTAATTTGGAAATTCGTTCAAGACGAGTGTTTTCGTTCGGAAATAAAATGCTTGAAAGCAGGCAAAAGCGTTGAAAGAAGTTCACGCTTAAGTAAATTATCTATGGAAATAGGAGAAGATAACTTACTCCGTTTAAATGGACGTTTACCTTTTAAGTCTAATTTGACCGAGGAAAGTAGAAAACCTGTCGTATTAGACGGTAAACACGAAATCGTTAAAATGATGATTAGAGAAGTTCATCATCATTTTGGACATGCCAATCACCAGACGGTGATGAATAAGGTGAACCAGAAATTTTATGTCTTGAACTTGCGTAATGTAGTACGAAGTGTGTCACATCACTGTCAATGGTGCAGGACATACAGGTCAAAACCGCAGAACGTGCCACAAGGAAATATTCCTCTGGAGAGAATAGCTCATCATGAACCACCTTTTACATGCTCAGCTGTGGATTATTTCGGACCTATGAGTGTGACTATAGAAAGGCGACACGAAAAACGTTGGGGTGTTTTATTCACGTGTCTGACCACCAAAGCAGTACATCTGGAATTAGCAGCCTCATTGACACCAGCGTCAATGATAACGGCGTTGAGGCGATTTATCGCCAGAAGAGGAAAACCAGCCGTTATATACAGCGATAACGGGACGAATTTCAAAGCTGCGAATAAAGAATTATTGAAAGCATGCGAAGAATGCTATGAGGGCATGAAAAATGAGTCATTTAAGAAATATATTAAATGGAAATTTATACCTCCGGGAGCACCGCACATGAGTGGCGCCTGGGAAAGGTTAGTAAGATCGATTAAAATTGCGTTGACCGCTACGCTCAAAGAAAGGAGCCCACGGGAGGAGGTTCTGCATACGCTGCTTTTAGAAGCGGAGCATACGGTAAATTCCAGGCCTCTGGTAACATTCAGTATGGATAGTCCTGAAGAGGGTTTGACACCCAATCATTTTCTTCTGGGACGCTCATGTGGTGATCGACCACCTGGATTATTTTTAGAGCACCATCTGACGGGTCAACTCAATTGGAAAGCTGCACAGAGGTTAGCCGACTATTTTTGGACAAGATGGCTGAAAGAATACATGCCTACTTTAATACCTCGAACAGGTAATAACGGAAAGTTCATGGAACCTAAAGAAGGTGATATTTTTTTGATAATAGATCATTCGTTGCCACGAAATACGTGGCCGAAAGGCAAAATTAGTAGAACGCTACCGGGACCAGACGGTCACACCAGAGTGGTTGACGTCATTACTAACACAGGTATCTTGAGGAGACCTACATCCAGAATAATAGTGTTGGTACCCGCGACGCCTCCCAAATAATGGTGCTTACGCACGGAGGGGGAGATTGTTGGCGACGCGCCTATAAGAATATTTCAGTTTATTAAGTCAACCGATGACGAATAGCTTCTAAAAGGCAAATTGTCCAATAGCGATGTTCTAATAAGAAAATGCT